GTGAAATCTTTGGATTTCACATAAACACGACATCAGATATTTATCAATATTTTTTTCTCTTCTAAAATTACACTAAAGCAGTAGTTCTCAACCTGTGGGTTGCAATCCCTTTGGGGGTCAAACGAGTCTTTCATAGGGGTTGCTTAACACTATCAGAAAACACATATTTCCGATGGTCTTCAGAACCAAGACATCACTTCTCTATCTGTCTCTAGGTGGGTCCGCCCACATGCAGATACACCTCATATGAGTACCCAGTATGATGACATCATCGCACCAACCCCATACAAATACAGGTGTATGTGACAGGGTTGGCGCCATAATGTACTTATGCGGACCAGTCACACATGTAGAGAGCAGCTACTGTGTAGAGAGCAGCTACTCTGTTAAAAAGCAGCTACTGTGTTGAAAGAAGCAGTATTGGAGGTAAAACAACACCTCATGAATTATAATTACTAGGTAAATGTAAAATCATGTACTGTGAAATCAACTACTGCTATATATATATATATATATAATCATGGGAATATAATCTGGATGGTGATCAGTCGTTTATATTCAGCTATGGTTGCTGTGACTACTGTCCCCTTGTGATAGTAACAGATATGTACAAAACAACAACACAGAGAATGGCAAATCATAGGAAATTTTAATGAACTGTATTGCTTGAACTATGCCGTGTATCATCTTTTGTATTATTAAGCTATTGTTATATATTATTTTCATTAGCAAACCATCCATGATACTGGATTGTGTAGAGAAGAATGTTAAAAGAAAATACAGGGAGGATTCTTTTACAGTATGGTCTTACCTAAATAATGACTGCAGGAATTGAGAAATCGCAATGTGTTATTTGTTGTGAAGTTCTATCAGCCGAATCTATGAAGCCAAACAAACTAAAATGCCATTTTGATAGCAAGCAAATGAGTTTTGTCATCAAGATGCCAGCTATTTTAGAAGCAGAGCTGATGGACTCAAGAAAGCCAGTCTTGATACTGGTGGCAAGTCCCACAAACAAAATGTGGCAGCCATTGAAGCTTCATATTTGGTGGCATCAGAATCGCCAGAGCTATGAATCTCACACCATTGCTGAGGATTTACTATTGCCAGCGGCCAAAGCCATTGTTCGAGTTATGATCGGACACAAATTTGTTACAAAATTGAGTGCAATTTCATTATCTAACAACACTGTCCACAGAACAGATGACATGTCTGCTGATATGCTTGATCAGGTAATCCAGGTAATTAAATATGCTCCACTTCCAATATTTAGCATCCAGCTTGATGAATCTACAGATGTTGCAAACTGTTCACAGTTACTGGTTTACGTGAGGTTTATTAATGATGGCGACTTTAAAGATGAGTTTCTATTATGAAAACCTCTTGAAACAACTACTACATGTGATGTATTTGACACTGTTGGTTCATTTCTGAAAGAGCATAAGATCTCTTGGGAAAAGGTTTGTGGTGTTTGCACAGATGGTGGTCCAGCTATGCTAGGATGTCAATCTGAATTTCCACGTTTGGTACTGAATAAGTCACCCAAAGTCATTGGAACTCACTGTATGATTCATTGGCAAATATTAGCAATGAACACGCTGCCACAAGAGTTACAAGAAGTAATGAGAAGAGTCATAAGTTCTGTCAACTTTGTAAAGGCGTGCACTTTGAACAGTCGACTGTTTACGCAACTGTGCAACGAGTTGGATGCGCCAAATAATGCTCTGCTGTTTCACACTGAAGTGAGATGGTTGGTTGTCGAGAGGAAAAGTTTTAAAATATGTTTTTGAGCTTCGTGAAGAACTCAAAACGTTTTTTAATCAGAAAGTAAGACCACAGTTCAAAGCACTTTTCAGGGATAAAAGTGAATTGCAGAAAATAGCTTACTTGGTTGACATTTTTGCCATCTTGAATCAGTTAAATTTATCATTGCCAGGACCAAATGCAACATGCCTCGATTTGCCTGGAAAAATAAAAAGATCCAATCATTCCAAATGAAACTTCAGCTTTGGCCAAAAAAAAAAAAAAAAAAATGGAGGAAAATAAAATTGACATGTTGCCTACCTTATCTGCTTTCTTTGAGGAGCATGACATTGAACCAGACAAAAGGATTACGACGATAATTTCTGTGAAAGAACACTTACACATGCTTGCAGACGAAATTTCTTTCTTTTTTTTTTAAATCATTAAAAAAATGACTAGGGGCTCATACAACTCTTATCACAATCCATGCATACATCAATTGTGTAAAACACATTTGTACATTCATTGCCCTCATCATTCTCAAAAAATTTCCTCTCCACTTAAGCCCCCGGCATTAGGTTCTCATTTTCCCCCTCCCTCCCCGCTCCCCCCTCCCTCATGAGCCCTTGATAATTTATAAATTATTATTTTGGCAGACAAAATTTCATTGTACTTTCCAAATCTACCTGACACCCCATTTGCAGTTGCCAAAAGTGCATTCACAGTCAAAGTTGAAGATGTTCCTGGGACAGCACAAGAGGAGTTCATTGAACTTTTAACAGCAATACAGCAAGAACTGATTTTTCTATAATGCCAGTTATAAAATTCTGGTACAAGTGTTTGCAGTCATATCCTGTTCTGTCTGAGACTGTGTTGCACCTTCTTCCATTTCCAACAACATATCTTTGTGATACAGGGTTTTCCAGCTTGTTGGTTATCAAGTCTAAATACAGAAGTAGACTTGTTGTGGAAGATGATCTTCATTGTGCTCTTGCAAACACTGCCCGGATTTTTTCTGATCTGATGAGAAAGAAGCTATCTCAACCTTCACACTGACGTTGACTTTTTACGCATACTGTCGCAAAATGTAGCAATGTAGTTTACTGTTGTTATATTAAGACTGTTACCCATGCGACACCATGCTTCAAGACAAAATTTCATTTATTTGTAATTAGAAATAAATATTTCACAATATATAATTATATGTTGTTTTGTGATTAATCACTACGCTTTATTTATGTTCAATTTGTAACAGTGAAGATACATCCTGCATATCATATATTTACATTATGATTCATAACAGTAGGAAAATTACAGTTAAGAAGTGGCAACAAAAATAATTTTATGGTTGGGGGTCCCCACAACACAGGAACTGTCTTAAAGGGTCGCGGCATTAGGAAGGTTGAGAACCACTGCACTAAAGTATAAATGTACTTTAAGTACCATTAGTCTATAATTCAAAAATAATCCAAAACACTTCATCACTCTTCTAATTTTAAAAAATATTTTACTGTATACAATTTGTATTAGATGAAATACTATCAGAATGCTCCTTAGATGAAAAGATTATGAGATTTTGTTTCATATACTTTGGACACGTGATAAAAAAGGACCAGTCCCTGGACATTATGCTTGTTAAAGGAGAAGGGCAGTGAAAAAGAGGAAGACTCTCGGTTTGATGGATCGACACCATGCCTACAACAATGGGCTCAAGTAAAGGATCAGTCGTGAGGATGGTGCAGGACCAGGCATGTTTCATCCTATTGTACACAGGGTTGCTGTGAGTGAGAACTGGCTCAAGGGCACTAACAACAACAACAACCCACTACAATCAGGTTGATTCTGACTCATAGAGACTATGTTGGACAGAGTTGAATGGCTTCCATATAGGTCTGAGACTAAATCTTTATAGACGCAAATACCGTCATCTTTGTCCTACAGAGATGAACTTGGGGTTTAAATGACTGAATTTGTGCTTAGCAGCCCTCTATATAGCCCACTGTTCCACCAGATCTCCATACTATAGTTACAACAAAAATATGAGACAAAACAAAGCACACCTCACTGTCATCAAGTCAATTCCCACTCATAGTGACCCTACAGGACATGGCAGAACTGCCCCTGTGGATTTCCAAGACTGGAACTCTTCACAGAAGCAGAAAGCCTTGTCTTTCTCCAGTAGAGTGGTTGGTAGCTTTGACTTGCTAATTTTGTGGTTAGCAGCCCACCATACAAGCTTTATGTCACCAGGGCTCCTGTATACGAGGCATTATTTTTCCATGGCTGTTGAGTTAATTCTAACTCATGGCAACCCGTGTATGTCACAATTGAACTTCACTCCGCAGAGTTCCCAATGGCTGATATTTTGGGGAAGTTAACTTCCAGGATTGTTTTTTAAAGATGTTTCTGGATAGAATGACTAACCTGTAGGGAAGCAGCCTAGTGTATTAATTTTATCCCTGAACTAGGCATTACAGAGGTTAGTAAAATAAGTTAAGGTCCCTGGGTGGCATAAACAATTTATATTCTCTTATGAACCAAAAGGTTTGACATTGGAGTCCATGTATTTGTGGCATGATAGAAAGTCCCAGTGATCAAGTTCCATAATATTACTTACTGCCATTGAAAAACCTATGTGTGAGAGTTCTAATTTGAAACCTACGGGTTCACTATGAGTTAAAACTGACTTATTACAATGGGAAGAAAAATTAGTAAAAGTTATAAGCCATGGTTAAAATGTTATAAGCAAGGACCTTGCAGACTCACATAAGTATATAATGAGAGGAAGAAAATCTAACATAAATCATAAGACCAATGTGAATTGATATAAGAAATGTTGCAGTTCCTGATGTCTTCCATTTTGACAGTAAGAAATGGCGCTGTCAGTAGTTATGTCAGGACAATAGATGTTGACCAGAACCATCTCAGAACATTTTTGATTCAGATTCACCCTACTCCTAATTCTCTTCAGTTTTGTTTAAACTTTTAACTATTGACATTTTTATACCACATAAAGAATTGAGATAATCATATAATCAATACCAAAGTATTTCTCATCCAGCTTCAACAGTTATCATAATATGGCTGATATTGTCTCATTTATTCCCTCACTAATTCTCCACTCTAATTTATTGAAAGTAAATATAAGACTTTCCCTTGATTCATCAATCATTTTACCTCACTGGATTCCTTCTCTCTAACACATTCTTACTAAATTCAACCACCATCCTAATTTTTCTTTTTCTTTTCACTTTCAGCACAGCATCTCCAACTGTCCATTTCTGTGAGGGTACAGATCCTTAAAGACCAGCCAGATACACTGAACAGCTCAGAGGGAGGAGCCAACTCACCAGTGCGTTCCACCTGGCCCTCAATTTCTTTGGACAGATGGCTGGATAACGAAAGTGACATAATGGTTATTTGTGAAGCTAGGGTACAGTTGAGAGTTGTTCTGTTACTCTGGCTTGGGGTGTCTCTGCCACTTTCTGATAACTCCCAGGATGGGCCCTACCAACACCTCCACTCCCCAGAAATAGTGATCCCCTTGAAGGTGACTAACAAGGGTAGAGGCACAAAAGTTCTAGGCTGGCTATCCTACATTCTGCACTTTGGGGGACAGAAACACATTGTCCACATGAAAGTCAAGAAGCTCTTGATTTCTAGACACTTCCAAGTGTTCACCTACACTGATTAAAATGCTCTCCGTAAGGATCAGCCCTTTGTCCAGGACGATTGCTACTATCATGGCTATGTAGAGGGGATCTCTGAGTCCTTGGTTGTTTTTAGTGCTTGTTTGGGGGGCTTTCATGGAGTGTTACAAATAAATAATTTTACTTATGAAATCAAACCACTAAGGCACTCTACCACATTTGAGCACCTGCTTTATAAGATAAACAGAAATGATACATACTTTCCACCTATGAGATGTGGCTTAACGGAAGAAAGACTAGCACACCAACTGTTGGACTATCTAGAAACTGAAAACTCAACCTTGAAACAAAATTCTGTTGATGGTTGGGGGACCCATTCATGGTTTCTGGAGCTGGCTGTGGTGGTAGATCATGATTTCTTCATTTACTCTGAAAGAAACTTCTCAAAGGTACAGGAGAATGTAATCCTTGTTGTCAGTATAGTAGATTCTATTTACCAGCAGTTGGGTATTTATGTGATGTTGATGGGGATTGCCATTTGGAATCAAGAAAATGTTTTTCCAATACTAAGCATAGAACAGGTTCTGGAGGATTTCTCTCATTGGAAACAAATCAGTCTTTCCCAGCTTCAGCATGATGCTGCCCATCTTTTTATAAAACACTCATTTAAACACGTGCTTGGTTTAGCGTATGTTGCAGGGATATGTCGTCCTCCCATTGATTGTGGAGTGAATTGTTTCCAAGGAGACCCTTGGTTTCTTTTTGCCCTAACTGTGGCTCATGAATTAGGCCATACTTTAGGCATGAAACATGATGAGGACTTCTGTTTGTGTGAGCAAAGTGGTTGCATCATGAATGCTATCAGGGTGATAGCAAAGAGGTTCACTAATTGCAGCTATGCTCAGTTTAGAAAGACAAGTTTAAATCAGGGATCATGCCTGCAAAATTCTCCAAGTCCAGGGGAATTCTTCTTGATGAAGCGTTGTGGGAACTTTGTGGTTGAAGGAGAAGAGGAGTGTGATTGTGGCTCTGTGCGACAGTGTGAACAAGATCCCTGTTGTCTATCAAACTGCACACTGAGTCCTGGAGCTGCTTGTGCATTTGGGCTTTGTTGCAAAGACTGCAAGTTCATGCCATCAGGGAAACTCTGTCGACAACAGGTCAGTGAATGTGATCTTCCAGAGTGGTGCAATGGGACATCCCATGAGTGTCCAGAAGATGAATATGTGCAGGATGGAATGCCCTGTAGCGGAAGTGCCTACTGCTATCAGAAGAGATGTAATGATCATGACAAACAGTGTAGGGAGATTTTTGGCCAAGGTGCAAAGAGTGCATCTCAGAGTTGTTACAAAGAAATCAACTCTCAGGGGAATCCCTTTGGCCATTGTGGTATAAATGGAACAGCCTACCTGAAATGTAATATCTCTAATATCTTTTGTGGAAGAGTTCATTGTGAAAATGTGAGAGAAATCCCTTCCCTGCATAAACATTCTGCTCTGCAGCATATTCTCATGAGTGGTGCCACTTGCTGGAGTATTGGCTATCATTTAGGGATGGACACACCTGATGTTGGAGAAGTGAAAGATGGCACGATGTGTGGCCCAGGAAAGATCTGTATAGACAAAAATTGTGTCAGTCTGTCTCTTCTGCCACAAGTTTGCCTGCCAGAGACCTGCAACATGAACGGTGTCTGTAACAATAAACATCACTGCCACTGCAGTTATGGGTGGTCCCCACCCTACTGTCAGCACAGAGGCTCTGGGGGAAGCGTTGACAGTGGTCCAGCATCTGCAAATGGAAGAGTTTTCTGGCCACTGATTGTGATTCTTGTTTTGTCTGTTTTGCTTATATTGTTAGCTCTTGGGCTTCATAAGTATGTTTAAAACATTTTTGTTCCATGGGAGGAGTGTAAGACTCACTCTTTAGGTTAAGAAAATATCTCTAATTCAGCACTTTGTCTATTATCCCGTTATAGTCTCATATAAATAGAAAGCATAGGAAATACCTGGCGAGACAGCTTAAGGAAAGTGCGGATCTTCTTTTCTTTCAGTGCCAGAAGCATCGCCATCAGTGAGGGTACTTCCCGCCATGACTTAAAATACTACTCGTTGCTCTTAAGAGGAAATCCAATCAAATAAAATCTCTCTGTCAATCTGTTTGTGTTTCTTGAAGAGAGAATGATCCACGGGAATGGCAGGGGGACAGACATCACAGGACCTAGGAGTAAGAACACTACCTCTCTTGAGAGTCTGCTTTAACATTTAAAAGGAGTGGTGATAATGATGTTTGGGGTTCTTTGGTGATCCAAAGAGAAAAATGAATGGAACTTGACTTCCATACTTACTCTTGACTTTGTTGCGTGAGTGCTCTCTAGTCAAGTGTGTTTGGTTGGGTTCTCCAGAGAAACAAAACCAGTGATGCTGTATGTGTTGTATGTATTGTATGTGGTGTATGTGTTGTATGTGGTGTATGTGTTGTATGTGTTGTACGTGGTGTATGTGTTGTATGTATTGTACGTGTTGTATGTGTTGTGTGTGTTGTATGTTTTGTATGTGGTGTATGTGGTGTATGTGGGAAGAGATGTCTATCAAGAGATGACTTACGCAGAGGTAAAAGTAGGTAAGTCCAGTTCAAGTCAGGGAAGTGTGCGGATGGCTCCTGTGATCAGAAAGTGACACAACAGAAGACTGAGGAACCAGACACCAGACCCAGCTCCAGCAGAAAGCAAAGGAACGAAGAAGGTTCCCTTCTCTTAGGTCGCCCTTTCTTATACAAAAACACTTAACAAGGAGGTGTCATCAGGCTGCAAGACAATTGATAGGTTGAACTCTGCCCCTCCCCTTCCCCAGGAGCTTCTAGTTAACTTAATCTCCAACCATCACAGACAGCCCGCCCCTTGTCAATGTGACACCTGCACAAAGCTCTTTAATCATACATACCCAAGATAATAATAAAACCATATTTGTGCCTAACACGATACAACTAAAATGCCTACAATATCAAAAAGCACTAGCCTTATTTTCCAATTATGTTTTATAAATGAACAAAACAAAAATATTTAGGGCATATGTACAAATGGGAGTCACTCATAACAATTAAAGGTGTCATTTTGGCAGCTGGTCACGTGACCATAGTGGGTATTTAGAACTACCTTCTTCCACTACTCATTCCATATTCCCTTTACGCTCAGTGAATGCCACAGCTGGTCATGATTCTTTGTCTGGTGGGGTGACCCAAACCTTCATTCTTAGAGTCTGGGCTATTATTAGTGATGTCAGAATTAGGGTGCTTTATCATTCATTTTAATAGCAGGATATGATAGTGCTTAGAGGTGACCTAAGGCCCCTGACCCAAGCCATGATATTTAACATGGTCTTTTATGCATGTAAAAATTAGACATTGAATAAAGAAGACTGAATAAGAATTATACGTTTTAATTGTGGTGCTGGTGAAAATATTGAAAGTACCATGAATGGAAAGTACCATAAAAGGACAAATTGATCTGTCTTGGAAGTAGTACAGCTAGAGTGCTCCTTAGAGGCAAGAGTGGGGAAATTGCCTCTTATGTACTTGGGACATGTTGTCAGGAGAGACCAATCCCTGGAGAAGGACATGGTGCTTGGTAAAGTGGAGGGGCGGTGAAAGAGAGGACAACTCTCAATGAGATGGATGACACAGTGGCTGCAACCATGGCTCGGGCACAGGAGCCCTTGTGAGGATGGCGCAGGACTGTTTAGGGTCTGGTTCTGTTGTGCATAAAGTCAATATGGGTTGGAGTGACTCAATGGCACCTAACAGCAACAACAAGGAATCCTGGATTCCAGACTCTCCTGCATTCTTCTTTACTTCCATTATGTAACACCAATCTAATTTCCCCCTTGGCAATCGGGATTAATCACACCACTCAATACAATGACACCCTTCTTTACCTATTGATCCAGAGGCACAAGGAGCCCCAAATGGCCAGTGGGCATTCTTAACTGCCAGTTCAATGAAATCAGAGTTGTGTTTCCAGATGGGAGTATTCCTACCTTTGGAACCAGGACCTACAAACCTGAAGAACATAGGGTCACTGGGACAGCAGCAAAAATGCTGCAAATGGGTCCCTGGGAGTAATAGTGAGCCGTGCCACTCCTATTTCCACTCCTTAGTTCTTGGGCACCGGAATCCTGGCTGTTGGGCACTCTGCACCATATATTGGCTACTAGTTTAGAATATGTACAGGCTTCTGGGGAACGTTGCCCCAACCCCACAAGGTGTTGCTGACCAGCTGGCATGGAGTCATTACATCTTTAGAAGGCCATTCCATCATTCTATTAACCAACTGCTTCAAGATAATGAAGAACATGGTATGACTGGTAGATCCCATGAGCACAGGCCCGTTGTTACACTTCATTTGCTGTGAAGTGAGTTCCCTGATGTGAAGCAATGTTGTGTGTGATACCATGCAGGTGGATAAGACATTCTAGAAGTCCACGATTGGTGGCTTTGTCAGATGCAGTTCATGCAGGGAAGGCAAATATGTATCCTGAGTAAGTGTCTATGACAGAACAAAACGTTGCCTTTTCCATGATGGAGTGTTTGTTTAATAAGTTCCCCTTCAAGGTGCATATAGTACGAGTATTGCCATGGGTGAATGTGGGTAGTGGTGGTGAGTTTCCTGATTGTGTCAGACCAGATTGTCTATCGAAACAAAACCAGTAGCACATATATGTATAAGAAAGAACTTTATATCCAGAAGTAATTTCATACTAAGAAGGCATCCCAGATCTGTCCAGTGCAAGTCCACAGGTCCAATGCTAACCCTTTTTTGACTCACCTAGCTGCAGGCCAATGATGCCAAAAGATGAAGTGAGAAGCAGAGAGATTACAGGCCAGTAGCTACAGAGTCATGTGGATCCAAAATTGGAGGAAACGTGGCAGGGGGTAGACAGCTGTCAGGGTCAGGTGGACCACATGGGGGTGCCCCTAGAGGCAGGCACAGAGTCCCAGGAAGCAGGAAGGCAAAGGAGCAAAGAGAATGGAGAAGTCATCAATGTCTCTCTTATTAAAAGGCTGCACCCCTACGGAGGCCGTCATCAGGCTGTGAACCGACTGACAAGTTGGACTCCAACCCCGGGACTTTCACAGAGGTGGTGGGTTGACATAAAATAGAACTGCCAAACTGGTGAATGGGTTGAATTGAGTTAGGGAATATTTCCCCTGAGTGTCCTGTTTCTCTACCCTGGTGTTCTCAAAACAAGAGAATCAAAACCCAACCAAACACACTGCGTGAAATGGCTCTGATTTTTCTCAGGACTTCAGTCCCATTTTGACTTTTGGCATCATCATGAGGTGTTGGTAAAGAAGAAAAACAAAAGAAAAAATCCTAGCCAATCTTCTTGGCTGCTTTATCCTCCAGATACTCAAGGAGATCAGAGGCTGAGCCAGAGTCACGTGTCAGGGCCACGTGGGTGATCTCAGTGTCTACCACCACTGAATGTACAAATGTGTGGGCCACTGCCACAAACGGGCATTTTCTTACTTTTTGGTTAAATTTGCTAGTGGTTTATTGATTATTAATTTTTACATAGTAACATTTTTATTGGTTCTATTTTTTATTTCCTTTATTTCTGCTCTAATTTGTAACTGGAAGGGATCAATATTTATGCCCCTACCAAAGAAATGTGACCCCACAGAATGTTCAAACTGTAGAACGATATCATTAATATCGCACACAAATTAAATTTTATTTAAGATCATCCACTAATGATTGCAATAGCTCATTGACAGGGAACTGCCAGAAGCTCAGGCCAGATTCAGTAGATAATGTGGAACAAGGGTTATCATTGCTGACGTCAGATGGATTTTGGCTCAAACAAAGGATGGCAGAAAGATGTTTACTTGTGTTTCATTAACTCTGCAAAGACATTCGATTGTGTGGACCATAATAAACTGTGGATAACCTGGAGAAGAATAGGAATTCTGGAACACTTCATTGTGCTCATTCAGAACTTGTACAAGGATCAAGAGGAAGTTGTGCGAACAGGACAAGGGAATACCACATGGTTTAACATCAGGAAAGGTGCGCATTAGGGTTGTATCCTCTTACCATAATCGTTCAATCTATATGCCGAGAAAATCATCAGAGAAGCTAGCTTATGTGAAGAAGAGTGTGGCAGCAGGATTGGAGCAAAGCTATTAACAACCTGTGATATGCAGATGACACAACCTTGCTTGCTGAAAGTGAGGAGGACTTGAAACATGACCAGTGAAGATCAAATGCACCTATTCTTCTACAGTTCAATGTCTAACTTTCACGTGGATATAATGCAACGGAGAATACCATGGCTTGGGTCAAGTACATCTTGGTCTTCAAAGTGACATCCTTGCTCGTCAATATTCTAAAGAGTCTCATGCAGCATTTTTATGTAATGCAGTATATATATCTTTAGACTGCTGCTTTCATGAGCATTGATTGTGGATCCAAGAAAGACAAAATCCTTAACAACTTCAACATTTTCTTCATTTATCATGGTATGACCTATTGGTCCAGTTGTGAGGATTTTGGTCTTCCTTACATTGATTGTAATCCCTACTGAAGGATAAAATCCTTGATCCTCATTAGTAAGTTCTTCAATTCCTCCTCACTTGTGTGATATTAATATCATTCTAACCTCTCACCATAATTGTTCAATCTATATGCTGAGCAAATCATCGGAGAAGCTGGATTATATGAAAAGAGTGTGACATCAGGATTGGAGGAAAGCTTATTAAAAACCTGTGGTATGCAGATGACACAACCTTGCTTACTGAAAGTGAGGAGGACTTGAAGCCCTTGCTGAGGAAGATCAAGGATTTCAGCCTTCAGTATAGATTACAACTCAACGTCTACAAGACCAAAAACCTCACAACTGTTGGCAGCATCATGATAAATGGAGAAAAGGTTGAAGTTGTCAAGAATTTTGTTTTGCTTTGAATGATGATCCATGCTCATGAAAGCAGCAGTCAAGAGATCAAATGACTTGTTGCCCTGAATAAATCTGCACAAGACCTCTTTAGAGTATTTCAAAGCAAGAATGTTACTTTGAAGACTAAGGCACACCTCACCCAAGCCATGGTATTTTCAATCACTGCATATGC